TGAGGGATTGTGTTTCTACATACAGTTTCCATTGAAGTTCCTGTTGCGGTTTTAGGAAGTGTTATGTGTAGGATCCTGTAAAGTAGCCGATACCGAGCTACAGTGGAGGCTATATGTAGCGCGGTCATAGGATTTTACAGGTGCAGGCAGAGTTGAGGTCACCCTCATGGGCATGGAGTGCCCTATTCGTGGATTAATATAGGGGCCTAAATAATTACCAATGCTATTTTATTTTATGTTTGTTTTTTTTTGGGGGGGGGGGAGGGGGNNTATAATTAAAGTAGAATATACCCCAAACACCCTAGTCTAAACTGTTACGGCCGCTACAATCGAGTCTGGGGCTTCGGGTTCATGGGTTCGGCACCTACCTGGACCCTGCGCGGTAGTAGTTTAGGGGCCTTAATACTTAGAATAGGGTTTTGGGGGGGGTCCTTATTATAACTATATATAGTAGTATATATACCTCAAACGTGTTTCTGATTATTAAGGCCCCTATGCTACTCTTTTTGGAGTGGCAATGTTTTTATGGTTATCCACCAATGGAGAAGCAAAGGCAACCAGAAAAAGGTACTCCATGGTAGGATCTAGCTGTAGCCTAACTTTTTAGGGTTCTTTATTCGGGAGTCTATATATATATATATATATAGCTCCTTGAACAGGTAGGTCTTTTGTGCCACACGTAGGTTTCAGGGCTTCATACTAGTACTATTAGCATGATGCTCGAATATAGAGGTCCCAACAAGCCGTAACAGCGTCACCGTTGGAGTCTTCAAATTGGTATCGGTTTACCAACTTAGTCCCCAAAGCGAAGTTCTAATTAAACAGGCCCCTAAACCTTCAACCGCCTATAAAGCCCTTAAAGGAACCCTTTGATGAACCCTGTCTCTAATTATTCTTTGAGTCGAGCTTGGCTTGCAGCAGGTTTCAGCTCGTTGCGCTGCTTTCAAACACGCTCTGATTTATAGCTTCAATGAAATGCTACATAACCAGCTGTATATTAATCCGCTACGGTGAGCTCGCAAGCATCACTGGACCAGGGTTTGGGAAACTTGACCATCATGTTTGCGCTGATCCATCTGTAGATCCCGTATGCACCGTGCTTACGGCTTGGAGACATTCTTGCGCCTACGGAGGTCCACCGGCTCTCTAGACAATAAGTTCCAGCATCGACAGCCATCCGGATCTTGCAGCCATGAACGCCACCCGTGCTTTTCTGCTGGCCGCGGCTTCTTTGGCCGCCTGGGAACTGAGGCCTGCTTCCACAAACCTGTGCTGGATTTTAGGGTTCCGACTATAGCGTCTACAGAGCTATTGATACCAAAACCCTCAACGAGAGCCCTTAAAACCCTATTAACCCTAAACCGTGAGCCCTAAACCCTGAACGAGACTTTCTGAGTTGCGAGGGCTTTTGGAGTGCCGGAAACTAGGGCCATGGAAGTGAATCTCCGGCGAAAGCTGGGTTCTGGTTAAGGGATTTACTCTAAGTTATCAGAATAGGGACCTACTGTGCCTTTAACAGGAGTCCTGGTAGCACAAAAGGGACCTATAGTAGATGATATGTTTTCCTTATTTTGGTACTTTGACTTAAGCCCCTTAAAAGGAACCCAGAAGGACTCCGAGCTCCGAGGAAACGTCCATCTCAGCTTCAGGGTTTACCTATCGTCTCCATTGTAGCCTTTTTTTTTGCTTTAACCAGCTTTATGTGTTAGAGATAACTCCAAAAGGAACTACGATGGAGACTCGAGGTAGGTTGTTTCGAGCTTAGGGTCGATATGCTTTGGAGTCTGCAGGCAGTTTGCAAGGTGTGCAGGGCTTGCAGGGTTTACAGGGTGTAGGATTTAAGGTGGACTGGCATTGAGACGTGCTATGGGTTTCCAGGTATCGACAAAGTTCCGCTGTGGCAATCCAACTATGAGGGAACATGTGAGCAGGCCCAATAGGGGCCTAATATAATCTCGATGCCTAAACAATATCCAACATGATTCGTTAGGGTTCCTTATCATGTTTATGTTGTAAAGGAGCCCAAAACCGTATTCTATTTTTCAAGGCACCTACTTCAGCCATAAGTCATCCCAGTGCCTTCCCTCAACCACAAGAGGTTTGGATTTGCCTCTTTCCCCTGCGTGTGGAGGTTGGCTTGGCTGAGGTTACAGTTTGGGGTTGTTGAGCTTCGGGTTTAGTTGCAGGGTCTTGGGTCCACATTTGGGTCTCAGGGCTGGTTCAGGGTTTGAAGGTTGTAGCGTTACTTGCTGATGTATATTGGTTGCCACAGTTGCTCCTGCTGGTGTTGACGCGGACAAGCTGCTTCAACCATAAACCGAAGACGCAGTCGAAGACAAGCCAGGGCCCGGGCTAATTATAAACTCTGAGGCCCAACCCTGAACCCATCCGAAGCCTTAATGCCGTGATCCTGGAGCAGAAATCTCCCTAAACCCTCAACCCTAAACCCTAAACCCTAACCAGGCCAGCCTTTCTCCTGGCTTCGACACGGCCCGGCGGGGTGGCAGATGTCCTGCGGAGGAGTCCAGACAAAGTCGCGCCCGGAACAGGTGGGTCCCGCGTTTGGGGTGTAGAGGCATTCCGGTGAGTTTTTCGGACTTTTCGGTTTTCGGGTCCCAGGTTTAGGTTAGACTGCAGGATATTCGGGCCTGGCGAAGTCCCTGCCCCCACGACGCCCCAGTGGAGGCATGCAGGCCGCCACCCACAGCAACAAGGCCTCAGCATAGAGCGTCACGAAGGCCACTCACAAACTCTACGAAGGTCCTGAAGCCACCAACAGTCTCCAGCCACACAAGCGTTTCTCTCAGCCCAAAACGAGCAGAAGGTAGGCTGTAGTATCGATGGGTTTAGACCGCACCTACAGTCTCCATAAGTAGCTCATGTTTTGGTTTAACCAGTTTTCATTTTTAGGGTCCTTTAAACAGGAACTACACTGGAGAACATTGGTAGGTTTACGCATGATTTCAGGTGGTCCGGCCTTGTGGCTTTCTAAGCGGTTCAGGATGGTTCAGGCCTATATGCATGTAAAGGCTCTCACGCGGGTCCGGATAGCATCTTAAGAGCCGTATTGGCTCTGCAGTCGGGTCGTTTGCATCTAGTCAGTATATTTTATTTCCTATGCTAGTTCCCTGAATCCTGCAAACCCTCATGATAGTTCCTTAAAGCCCTGAATCCTGTGATAGTTCCTTCAGCCGTAAACCCTTATGATAGTTCCTATATAGCCTGAGGCCCTGGCCGCGAGTACAGTATACTATAGGTGCCTTAATAATTAGAATAGGGTTCTGGGGTCCTTTACAGTGCAAATTATAAGAAGGAACCCCAAAAAAAATATACCCCCCAAAAAATATATAACCTTAAGCCCTAAACCGTAAACCCTTATTGAGGCCCCTACACTACCAGCCCCCTGTTCCAGCTTCGAGTGCCTTTGGACTCGGCGCTGTGGCCGCCACGCTTGTTGGCGCGCAGGCAAGAATTGCTTCTTCGTCCTTGTTTAGGGTTTGGGGTTTAGGGTTTAGGGTGTAGGGTTTTTTGCAGCAACAAGTTCAACCGGCAACACTGATAACGGTCAAGAAGCCAGTCATCTTTGCCCGAATGTTGTGATGAAGAGCAAAAGTACACTAAGCCCTATTTGATGGCTGCTGCTATATTTTGTCTCGAGTTGCTGGTCTGTGGAGGGTTCGGTGACTGTACATAAGGCTCCTTTGGAGATCTGTGGGTTTATTTAAATGAGTAGTTCTCCAAATTATGGTCCCTTGTTAAGTATCGAAATAGTACGGAAACCTTATAAAGAGGATCCTAAAAGGGATCCGAATTTTAGAGAAGTATGCAAATTGAACCTTATAATATTATAGTACCTTTAGAGAGCTACCTAAATGTTGGGTGTTATGCTGGGGAGGCTATCTGATTATAGTGTCGGACTTGGGATCCAGGCCGAGATCTGCAACCTTGCCTATGGTTCAGATTGGGGCACCCCTAAACCCTAAACAATCCAACGCGCTGTCCTCGCAACCTGCAGCCAGAAATTGTCATCTCAACCCCACAGTGGAGAAAGTTAACGCACCCGCTGATGTTTGCAGAGCATTGCAAGACGAAGCTTCAAGAGAGCGTCCAACAGCCCTAACACCCTAAATCCTAAACCCCTAGCCCCCTAAGCCCCTAAACCCCTAAACCACAAGGCCCAAACTCCAGATATCTTTCAAGGCCGTCTTCCGAAAACGGCGCAGCCACCCGGTGATCCGAAGCGCCGGGCTGCCTGGCGCAAAATCCTCGTGGGGTTTCGGGTTTATAGGGGCTTAGGGTTTAGGGGCTTAGGGTTTAGGGTTTATAGGGGCTTAGGGTTTAGGGGCTTAGGGTTTAGGGTTTATAGGGGTTTAGGGTTTAAGGGCTTCGGGTTTAGGGTTTATAGGGGCTTAGGGTTTATAGGGTTTATAGGGGCTTAGGGTTTAGGGTTTATGGGCTTAGGGCTTATAGGGTTTATAGGGGCTTAGGGTTTGTAGAGTTTAGGGTTTAGGGGCTTAGGGTTTATAGGGTTTATAGGGGCTTTGGGTTTAGGGTTTAGGGCTTAGGGTTGGGCATCTACAGAAGACCTTTTCCTGCTTCAGGGTTTAGTTGGTTGGGGTTGTTGAGATGTTTACAGATTCTGAGGTGTTCTTCGATGTGCTTACCAGGGTTTCAGTGATGCGTTCAGGGCGTACATGGCTTGTTTGTGTTTTGATTGAACTGCCTTCGCAGTAAAGGATAGACTGCTGGCACGATGCATCCTCAATCCATGTTCCGACTGACTTGCCGCAAAAGCTTCAGGGTGCAGGGTTGGTCAACGCATGACAACATGACAGCGATGTCCGGAATAGCCAATCACATGAAGGCACTGGAAGGAAAGCGATAGCGTGTGCAAAGAGGGACCATCGCCATCATGGAAAGCGCCATGTCGCCTATATCGAACGTAAACAACTATCGAGAGCAAGCCACCAATGCAAATATTAGTAATGCGAAGTCCCTAAACCCTCAAACCCTAGACCCCTAAAACGCTAAAACCCTTAAACCCCAAACCCCGAAACCCTGAACCCCTAACTTAAGCCCTCAACCCATCAAGCCTGAACGAGGACCCTGAAGTGACGGCGTTTGTGTTACCTCTACTTATATTTGTACTATCTGTGTACGATGACTACAATACTCTTAACCTGTACCATTACTATACTAGGAGTTTGCTATTCGTATGCTATCATTTACCAAATATTACTACCATTCTAGCGTGGTTTTTCTAACTGCAAAAGACCACATTACAGACTCGGCACAAGCAGGGCGGGAAGTTATGGATGGCCTCTCCGTAAGCGTCGCTTGAACATGGAATAGCACAGAACAAGCGGCTTAGGCTCTAGGGTTTAGGGTTTCGGGCCGCAACAAGATCAGCACAAGCTGAGTCCACCAACCCCTTTCAGTGGTGTCGTAGCACACAAACCCTGGATTTTGAAGCCCCCGCCTTATAAGCCCTATTATCCTCCAGAAAATCCACGAGGCCGGTCCTTTTCGGGAGCCAGGGTAGCCGATCTCCTCTGGTCAACTGGTACCTCCATGAGATAGGCCGGAGATGGGGATTGGAAGATGTACGGCTGGATATGCACTGTTTAGAATTTAGGGCTTAGGTGTTTAGGGTTTGAGGTTTTTGGGGTGCTCTGCAGGGGTTTCAAGGCTTCCCTTTGGGCTTCCTTGGAGTCTCTATGGCGGCTTAATCAGAGCTTCTTGATGAAAAAAGGGTCCCTCCAGGGTTGGGGTTTGACTTTCGTCGTTCGACCGTAGGGTGTTACACGAATGCTGTCGGGATCTGCCTTTTCAAGTTTGGGGTTGGGGGAGGGCTTTAGGGTTTAGGGTTTAGGGGTTTAGGGTTTAGGATCTAGTGAGGCTGTTATCAGGTCCCCTCCAAAGTCACTCTGAGCGTAAACTCAATCCCCTGGAGCATCCCCAAACTCCACAACCCCGAACAGAAACCATCTGAAACGCTACATCCTCCAAAGTTCAATCGAACAAAACCTAAGCAGTAAACCCTCAGCCCACACCCCACTACACCCCACTACAACGTTCAAAATCCGCCCTTTCATGGAGGGATCCCTACAGGGGGATGGTTCAAGTACTGTAGAAATCCTAAACCCTACACCACTCTAAACCCTGTCACCCTAAACCCTAAACCCTAACCCCTAAACCCTAAACCCTAAACCCTAAACCCTAAACATAGGGATCCCTGAGCTTCGCGATGCAGGTCAGGAGTTCGAAATGGTCCCCGCAGCGCAAGTGGATCGCACCTCCCCGGAGTATCCGCATCCATTCGGAGCCTTGGCCCTTTGTGTGGACCCGAAATGACCTACACTTTTTGCGGGCTCAGATACTATCCCCTAAACCCTAAACCCTAAACCCTAAACCCTAAACCCCAAACCGGAAGCCACACTAAGGAACCCTGAAATGGTAGGCTTGTTAGGGTCATTGCCGTAGGGGTCGTGGCTTTACAACCGTCATTCTACTGTTGGGGCTCTATGTACATGTGTCGCTTTGCGGTGAGCTGGATGTGATCTATTCCGGGGCGTTTGCTCTGACTTTGCTCCGGTCTGGCTTTTGGCCGTGTTCTTCGGCAAAGGCGTGAAAATCAGCTACAATCGATGGGTGTCTTTCTGAGTTGTTCAAGCTGTTCGGTTTACGTATTATTAGGGATTGCATGGGAATGAGAAGTGCCAGGCAATCGAGCTCGAACGAAAGGCCCAATAAAATATTGCATAGGGCCGAGATAATTACCAATACCATTTTGGGTCCCCATTTGCGGTGATAGGTTAAGCTTCCATTCCTAAGCCCTCAAAGGTAGCTACAGTCATGGCCCAACACCTACAGAAGGCGATTCTACATGCTGCTGGGGTCCTGGTAGGTCTAGAAGATCGAGATTTCGAACCCAGGCTCCTAGGGCTTATAGAATTTATAGACCTAGACCCTAAACTCTAAACCCTATAAACCACCAGTATAAACCCCTAGTGGGGCTTAGGGTTGAGTTTCTTTTCAAGAACTGAGAGACTTCTCGTATCCTAACCCTAAACCCTAAACCCTAAACCCTCAACCCTAAACCCTAAACCCTAAACCCTGCAGCTGCAGTGCGCCAAGGAAAGATTCCTGCGCTCCAGGACGGTAGTGTCAAGGCGCGCCGACTGCGCTATCGGCTCTAAGCCTTTGTGTGCGGGTTGCTAAGGGCTTTCGGGTTTGATGAGGGTTTTGGGTTTAGGGTGTTGGGTTTAGGGGGTCAGGACATCGTCTAGATCTTGTGGTATCAATGGTTGGGATTCGGAGTTGTTTGTATGCGTCCGGACCACACCTTAGCATCGGAAGTACAAATCCCTGACCGCCCGAACCATTCCCACAAACATGTCCAAGCTAACCGGAACCCTAAACCCTAAACCCCTAAACCCTAAACCCTATACCCTAAACCCTAAACCCTAAACCCTAAACCCTTAGCCCCTAAACCCCTAA